TAGACCCTGTAAATATCTCAGCACTTTGCCAAACGAAAAAACGTCCCCTCCATCGACCAGAATCGCAAATTGGCGGGCCTACACCCCTGGGGTCGTCCTCCACCCCCGGGAATTTCCTCCAGTAATTTATCAAAGAGAATGAGCACAGCTGAATCATTTGGAATTCCCATTGTTGAAAATTCCACAAATTTTTGGTGGAAAGATTAACCTCCCACCATTTTCCCCCGGACAAAAGTTTTGGTTTTGTACGTGATGAATGCAGAAAAGGAGACAATAGCCCGCGTTCAAATACACCCACTAACAATGCCGCTGGGTATTAGATCTGTCCCACCTTATCTTGAGAACACTCTCTTTCTCTCTGTCACAGGTGTAGGCACTGTACCGTGTAATGTATTTTGGCACTTGTTATGGCCTTTATTCACAATCTTGATAGGCATAGCTGGCAATTAGCCGATGGGTGCGAGAATTTCGATCTCAGAATGCCATGAAATCAGATAGTCGATAGCACCCGGGGGAATTCAACAGAGGTAAAGCAAACCATTATTCACACCAATGCGATTTCCATTGGGCAATGTATCACTGGAATCGGATAACGACCTTATCACCCACATTTGTGATACAACAATGCGGGGGGTATCGCGATTGTGCAGCTGAGAAAGGGAGATCGGCTCGACCTATATCCCTGAAACATTTCTCACCGGAAATAGAGTGGGATGCAGCTGCAGGTCGGGGAAAGAAAAGGGGAAAAATGACAGTCGCCAGGGCCGCCCGGGCTTAGGGCCTAGGCTATCGAGGATTTTTCAATGATTTTAGTATTTAGGACATCTGGAAAAAAATTGAATTCATTTCCTAAATTTTTATCAAGGAAAAGACGAGGATTCCTCATTTTACACGGAGAGAAATATTTAATAAAAATTACGTATCTTTTCCGCAATTCCGGAGCGAAATGTGGTTGTAGGAAATTTTACGGAACTGTCACGGAATTTTTCCGGAGCGTTCCGTAATTTTTATCTGAATCTCTTGTGAAAAATTACGATACCGTCACTTAAATTTTCTGAGTCGATTCCGTAATCGGTGAGTGAAGTGAGAGTTCCGTAATTTTTACTGAACATTTCTCTCCGTGTAGTTGTATTTTTAACGCTAAATTTTCATGATTGCCAGTAATTTTGAGGGAACAGTTGAACTGAAAGTTAGTTTCCGTTTCTTTTTTATCAAATTACTAATTTTCTATTAAGAAATTCCTTGAAATTTGGGTGGAACTGTTCGTCGATAGAAATTTCCAAAATGTGTACGTAAACTTCAGTAAAAAATGTTGAATTCAATTTTCTATTTTTATCTGTCAGGAAATATGTTTTGAGTCACAAAAAAACAATAGTCTTCTTGTTTTTAAAACGTTCAAGACAGCATTGGAAAGTTGCAATTTGTGACGATTATGATTTCACCTTGAAAACATTTTTTGAAAATCGTCACAAATTTGTTAATATTGTCAAAATAAGAAAATTTCCGAGAGTTCAAGTAATTTCCATTATTTACTGATAAAAAGGTAAATGTTTATTGAGAAAATAGTAGCATCTAAAGGTGAAATATTTTCTTGCAAAATGTCATCTTGTCAGACGTTGATTATCCATAAATTTTTGAAAATGTTCCTCACACAATTCAATCGTTCACAGAAGACAATTTTTAATTTTCAGGAACATATCATTAATTTCCTGAGACTTATCACTGATTTTCAAGAATCAGTGACAATTATTGGTGATACTGGACAGTGACGAGAATGCCACTCATCATCAGTGCTTCTATCACTAAAATTTGGCGATAGATTCCTAAAAATTAGGCAAGGGTTCTTGAAAATGCTTGAATCATTACTAAATCATCTCTCAGAAAATGACTGGTGATGTCACTGAAAATTGGTGTCGCAATCACTGAATTTCTGAATTTAGCCTCCCTGAATTTTACAATCGCAACTCCCCGATAATTACAGATAAACTCTTGAAAATCATTCACATGTTTCGAGAATCAGTGACAAGTTCCTGAAAATCAAAACTTTTTTTTCCTGCGTAAAATTATTTTCTCTGAGGATACTCCGATATTCCCAATGGTCAATACCAAGATTTTAGCTCCATCCCTCAACGCCCCAAGACACGGTCAAGTTCCCCCCATCAGTATTGTTTATCCAGCAGATATTGAAGATTAAAACCTCCATTTAGCCCACCCTCCACTTCAGCAGTTGAAGCAACCTTTAAAGAATACGAAAGCTTCTCCGAGGCTCCACGGACACATGCGCAACTTGAGGGTACTTTTCACCACCACAGACGCGGGAGAAAAACCTCAAGAGTTTCAACATTATGGCCGCCCAAGTGCTGCCTCCTTTCACATTTGATAATGGCCACTGAAACATATCTGAAAAAACCGGCAATTTACGGTTTTAACGAGAGGAATTATGCCGCTCTGATTACTCCTGGAGAACGTACGCCATTAAATTGACTTCACTCTGTATTTTCGTAGAATTAAGAAATATCATCGAAATAACCTACGATTTAACTTCCGCGACTCCGTTTACTACACCTGCCCTCGGTCATTTGGAACCTCACTCCTTGTATTTTTCATCGATCCAATTCCCTGTTTCCATTCTCATGTGCCACCAATTTTTCACCCCCTTCTCATATAAACATCCACTGAATAGGCAGAAGTGTTATCGTCGGCTCCCGAGTAAAATCAATTTTCTACGTGATACCACGAAGTTAATTCTCCAATATTCCCTAGAATATCTCATCGATGGACTGCACCGAGAAAAAATATGAGAATTTTTCTCTATAAGATAAATCTTTTGTCTAAATTTATAAAGAATTATATCGCCTGATGAGATAATGTAATATTGTGTTGCAAGTGCGTAAAGTTGTACTTTTTCACACGTACGCGAAACACATCCTCTCCTACACGGAGAGAAATTTTCTAGAAAAATTCTAGTACGATTACTTGAAAAAATCGCAATCCACCGGCTGTGAAAAATTCTAGTGCTGTTAAGGTAAAATTTCTTGGTATTTCTGGTAAAATTTGTGGGGATTTCTGGGAAATTTTTACAGAAATACGGGTAAAAATTTACGTTTTCCCCAAAAAAATTTCTAATTTCGGCACTGGAATTTTTTCCTGGCCGTCAGTTTGCGCCTTTTTCCCGTGCTAGCACTAGAATTTTTCTAAAAAATTTCTCTCCGTGTACTCTTCCTAGTCTTTGGGGGTGCAGTGTGGGTAAAGTTTGTTTTTTTTTGCCTGGAGAGCCTAAAGTTGAAGGTCGTGTGTAAAGTAAAATTTCACTCCATCATGTGGAAAATGGGGCTTTACACCCGCGGAGCGATAAAAGTATTATCTGGCGAATGTGGTTTATAATCACATTCGCAAATTTTTTGTAAGACTCATCTCCGACTTTTTTGTGCATCTCTGCGTGTCCTATGTCGCGATAAATTTCGCCCGGCATAACCACTCGATTGCTCGAGTAATTCATCTCAATTCCCTGGATTCATTTCAACCATCGACAATTTATCTTGAAATCTCGAAAAATTCCCCCTCGACTCATGAAGCCATTCGTAATCGTCTGCGGCGAGGATAATGAAATGGCTTTTCCATCGATTAAATATAAAGAGAGAGATTCATTCAAAGTCTCCTTTAATCCTCGAGAGCTCTTGACCTCCATCTTTCTAATTGCGAAATCATTCATTAAACATGGGAATGGAAAAAACTGAAAATCTCCACTTCGGAGAACTTTTGAAAGAAATTCAATACGTTTTAGTGAATTCCACGCGTTCCTTGAGTAAAAGCTCGACCCACATAATAAAAAATGGGAAATGCACGAGTCTGACCGACAGTCCGCAGGAGCTGTGCTCTCCGACTGAAAGGAACTGCGTTAATGTGATTTTGATTCACACGAAAAATAAAGACAATAGGTCAAACTCTGCTCAGCCTATTTGACCTTATCTTAAGGATGTTTCCGACCTGGGGATGAAATACCTTGAATGCAGGGGTGATTGGTCATTATTTTGCGGAGGAGGCAGGGTAAAAGGTGATATACACTTGAAGATTGACGATTCTTCTTCGCAAATTGATAGGTGATTCTTCTAAACGATTGAAGAAAAATCCCTTGTCTCAAGTAAATCTATTTTAGATATTGGAATTTTTGTTGTCAGTGTATAAAATTTAATGAAATTTCAAATTTTCCCCACAGCAGAAAACCAATAATTCCCCAACTTACTTGAATTTTCAATCATAACATGAATATTCAGGACCAAATAACGCTGAATCTGCAGTTAATTGAAAATTCAAGAATATATCCCCTTAAATTTTCCGGAATTGACAGTTTCCATTGATTTTTTTCATCAAACTGCTAATTTAATGAAAGCAATCACCGAAAACTGAATTTTTAACGACAAAAGTCTTTGAAATTTCTGTAGAACTGTCACTTGATAAAAATTCCCAAGAAGTGTACCCGGAATTTCAGCCAAAAATGTCTACCAAAGTACAATCAACCCCATAGTGAATTCTCGAAAAACTGAGAGTGAAGAAAGAAATATGTTCTTGCCCATCGCAGAGGAATCGACGCAAACCCCTTATTTTCCAATCACCTCAGCAAAAATTCAGGCCCATCCGCATTCTCACCACTTCATTTTGTCCCCACAGAGCAAAAAAAAAACTAAGCACTTCCCCCCCGTTCGCCCTCTGGACACCAAAGTAATTGCACCAGCGTCACGCAACATAACCTGAAATATAACTGAACCACGTAATTTCCGATAATTCACGAATTTCCAGGTGCCGACCCGATGCATCCTGCAACTAAACCGAAATCGATAAATAGACTTCCAAAAGAGAAAAGAAAAGAAGAATTAGTGGTAGCATGGACAGATGTAGCACTACATCACCATAAACCCAAAGCATTCAATCAAGAATTAAAAAAAAAAAATAATGAAGAATCATGTATCCATACTGAGCAGTCTGTATTTGGGGTGTTGCAGGATGCACGCGGTTGGATTGCACTCGGCATTGGCGATCAAGCGCCAGAGAAACCGTCGTGATGAGCAGCGTCGTGCCCGCGAGCGTCGTTACAGCGCCCAATCAGGGGAGAGTGGTTTGACATCACCTAGAGCATCGCAGGGTTCCCTGGACCACCATCACCGCCATCACCATGCGACAAGCACCCACCGAGCAGCTGGCCAAGGGATGCTGGACTCCAAAGTCGTCACCTCAATCGGTATGCTGCACATTGGTGTTGTCTTCCTGGTGCTCGGGGGTTTCCTCCTAGGAAGTGGTCTCCTGCCAGGAGACCTATCCAACTGGAGCTTCAAAGGCACCGGTGGCTGGTGGAACGAGCTGGTCGTAACAGGTCTCTTCGCCGTTGCCGTCGGAATATTCCTCATAATTCTGAATCGCGTGATAGCAAAGAAGGAGGAGGACGACTTGGAGGAGTACGTCCAGAGGCAGTTGACACGTTCAAGATCAGGCCATCGTCTCGAGCGTGACGTTGAAACCGGTGGTTTAACAACCAGACACGCCAGACGAGCCAAACAAATGAAGAAGATGACTGCCTCCGGCTCTCTCGACATTGAAAGCGAGAAGGCATCGAGCTCACCACCAAGAAGCCCACCGCCAGCTTACTCGCCACCACCCGTAACCAACGGAGATAATCAAAATCAATCTGTCCTCTTCCTCGAGCAGATCACTGAGGAGGAGATCACCAGTGATAGGATTGAAACATCAACCACGGATAGCTTAAGCCCCGGGTCGCCAAGCGAAACCCGGGAACTTTTACACAATAATCCACGTCACAAAACAAATGGACATCATCATTCCAATCATCACTACATCGACCATCAGCCGGTTTACGTAAATCCCGCGGTCAATTGAGGGGTTTGATGATTAGGTAGTTTATTCATGAGAATATCATCAATCCTACTCTGGACCTGGCGTTCATCTCTCGATTCAATTAAGGCCCAGGGTATAGTCGTTAGGTTTGATAATTATGATCTTTGTATCTTGTACTCTTCTACTTTGTCAAGTATTGGAGGTGAATCAAAGCGGAGAAAAGCGCGATGAGAGTCAGCAAAATGATTCTCTTCTCTCTGTTTGAATATTTCCAGATAAGAGGGAGATGTGATTACTGCTGAGGGGACTCAATCTATTCAATTTGAGGAAGAAAAATAAAGCACATTTCTTCATTCGTAACGTTAAGAGGATTTGAGGGTGGCTTATGTTCAACTTTATTCGCATTTGTATGATGCTTTGAGAGTAATATTTAAATATGCACATTCCTTGAACATTGACATATCGTCTTCTGGCCTGCACCTCTACGGAATAGATGTATTTTGATTGATCTCATTGGGATTCAATAGACATTGAGGAATACATAACGAACATAATCGATGGACCAAGACGCTGAATTAACTGAACATACAACGCAGAAATAATGACATAATGGAGGAATACATTGGAAGTACGACATTGATATAGATATCACGGCGATTTGTTGTCACAGCGGTTTGCTATGTAATGTTTAGATGTTTAAGGGAGTAATTGTAGATAATTGCCAAATATACTCGTAATTTATGCGTAATTATGGATAAATTCAAAATACGTATCAAACGGTCGTTGATGATGAATATAATTAATACTGAATATGAATTACTTTCTGAGATTGGAAAGGTAGGTCTTGTCACTGCTGCTACGTTCACCTCGCGCCGAAACGTGCCTTTTTATCGTTCCGGCCATAGGCGACACATGGCCTAAAAAATTTTTCTAGCAAATATGATTGCAACCCTCGCGTTCGGCTCGGGCTGCTACCTCATAATCGCCAGAAAAGTTCAGGCAGAAAATTATTTGGTGAATTTCAACAACTAATTGTTAAATTTCATCAACTAGTTTGTTGAAATTCACCAACTAGTTGTTTAAAAAACTGAATTATTAACTAGTTGATGAATTCCAACAACTAGTTCTTGACTTTCAACAAATAGCTGGTGAATTTCAACAACTAGATATTAAATTTCGCCAATTAGTTGTTAAATTCATCAAATAATTTTCTAGTTTTTATGTCGAAATGCACTATTTCATTATTCGTAAACGAAAAAAAGGCACAGTTCACCACTGCTTGAACGTAACATCACTGACAAAAAATATGATTCGACATGTGTGCGACGGGGATGTTTCCGCTCGTGTGATTGCACTGAGAAAAAAATTACAAGGAATTATTGTCTTGGAAGACGATTTAATTTTTTTAGGAGCGGATTTCTCCAGGCCAGTCATTCCCAGGCGGTCCAAATCCTTCTCCAAATATTACAGTTATGTTGAATTATGGGATGATCATGCTACATATGGCCTTCAATGAACTCCATTGACAATTATTAACATTTAGGGTTATTCCAAATTATTTTACGTAAGAAAATCTCAAATTGAAAAAAATTGAAAAATAATGAAGTGTTGATTCAAGCTCATATGTAGCATAACCATTCCATAATTCGAGATAATTGTAGTATTCGGACATGGACTAGACCGTCTGGGCATGACGGTCTGGGGAAATGCGCTCCTAAAAAAAAAAATTCTTCTAACAAGAAAATGATTCCTTGGCAGAAGTAATTTTTTTCTCAATCTAGCAACCCGTCACACTTGTATCGAAATGTACTATTTCACAATTTTCAAGTCATTGTTTTAGGTGTAAGATAATAGAATGAAGTGGGGGGAGAATGAGAGTGATTCTTCCTGTGAGAATAATTGGATGGAAATACTTAATTGAGAGCAATTCGTTGATCCACAATAACACGAGGATTACGCAAATTTCTGCTGTAAAATTCTAGTACATTTTCCACAGCTATATTTCGTTTTATATACTTTGAATACTTGACCTACATACGCTAGCCGTAAGCTTCGTGATGATCGAAAATGACCCCAATTCATCATGAAATTAATTAATTCCCATTACATTAATACTGTCCCCCGCAATATTCATCCACCATATCTCAAAATGATGTATTTCATGTACAACAAATAATGAGACCAATATGTAACAATCATCAACTTGAAAATCGGTTGAACTTTATTTTCGAGAATCTACGAAGCATTTTAATTCCCATGCTCAGGCGCTATGACACTGTGATTCAGATGAAAATATTATTGCGAAAATCAATTGAAGCTCTTCGAGCAATAGAACACGGAGAAAAAAGTTGGGGGAAAATTAACAAATCAACAAATCAAGTAATCGTGGAGCGAAATTCAGTTCTAGGTTTTTTTGGCTCTAACTCGAGGAGAAAAATGCGAGTGGTGAATTCTTCTTCGCTTGTTCCGAAAAATTTACAACTGAATTTTAGCAGTTGTGTAATGTATTGGTCTTTCAGGTACTTTTGTGAGAGTTCTGGTAAAAAATGCACAAGTGCGTTTCACGATTAAACAAATGCATCAGAGATGGTCGCGGAAAGGGATAAATCACTGAAATTTCATTTGAGATATTCCGGAGAAATTCAGTGTACTGGGAGAGAAATTCTGACACAGCACAATGACATTTCGCCGTATCAAATACTGACGCAGGTTCATGGAAATGTTATTGTGTAGTTTCATAATGTACTGTTTCTTTAACGTACTGTTTCTTTAACGTTGCAAATAAAAATCTCCAAATCTATGTTAATTTTCCTTGCCTACGGGAGAAGAAAGGTTCATAAAAACAACTATAATCCTATGGAAATATATCATGAGACATTTTTTCCTCATTTCTATCCCGCAAATTAACGGAAATTGAATGTTGAACAATAAAATTTTCATAAAAATCATTGCGGTCTAATAATTTTTGTACGACGCATATCTGGATAAAAATTGTTGTATTGGAAATGTAAAATTTACTATATGCCGGGCAAAAAACATTTCACCACAGTAGGTTCTATTATTATCAGGACAAAACTTCTTCAACGAAAAATTTCAAATTTTATCTTCAAGGATCAAATTTCATTGTTCAACATTTAATTAAAAAAAAAGAATTTTTTAAATTGTTTCTCAGGAACATGTCACTGATTTTCAGGAATATCTCTCTGATTTCCAGGGACATGTCACTGATTTTCAGAAATGTACTAGGGAGCTACGCAATATGATCCTCATATGATCCCTATATAATCCCCATGATCCTTATTCTGGTCCTTGTGACACTTACTCTGAACCTTAGAACTCTAAATCTGACCCTGGTAATCCTTAATGTGACCCTCGTGGCCCTTATTATGACCCCCGTCACTCCTATTCTGACCCTCATGACCCTTATTTTGACCCTCGTAGCCCTTGTGATTCTTAATTTTGGAGTCTTAATTTCGAGTACCAAATTTTCATCACCAGAAGTCGATTCGGATTTTTATAATATAGAGCTATTAAGAATTATTAGTGATACTAGGTAGTGACTAGAATAAGCCTGATCATCAGTAATTTTTATCACTGAAATTTTGTGAACCTAAAAATAAAAGATGTGTTTCTCCAAATCTATGACATTACTCTGGAAATTAGTGATAATGTCACCGAAAATAGGCGACAAAATCACAGAATTTCACAATCACGAATCCCTAACAATTGGGGTAATTTTCTGAAAATAGTTGATGTTCCTGAAAATCCAAACTTTTTTCTCTGTGAACCGTTTCTTCTCCGTGTTTAATGCATCACCATGCTGAGCTCAAAATTTCATGTGATTTTTCCCTTCACGTATTGAGATGGATTACCGCTTATCCAATACATTATGTAAAAGTGCCTTCTACTCTGTTCACTTCTGTTCTATTTTCTACGATTTATGTTCATTCAGTTCCTCAAATGAGACGATTTTCCCACTGAAATTATGTGCATTCCATTGTTCTATTAAATATCTATAGTTCTAGTAATTCTGTATGTAACCCAGTCACGACCAAAGTTGTTAATTTTTCTGTAACTCGGAGAACAATTTCAATCATCGTCGCAAGAAATAACTGCACTGAGAAAAAAAATTCTAATGTCTGAAACACATTTACTGGAGAGAAGTTTAATCCCCCCAGGCATCTCAACCCACTTAGAAAACACTTAGAAAACCCACAAGAAAAAATTTAGAAAACTGATGCCCAAGCATTCTTACAGTTCTTATAGAAAAAATCTCATGAGAAACTTCGAAATCTATTGACTTTTTTTGATCGAATATCCAACAGAATCAGCGCAAAAAACAAATAGAATTTTTCAACAGAATTCCAATAGAATTTTTTAGCGAATTCGCTAGGCTTTCTATTGAATTTTTTCATGCGTGAGCGTGCGTAAAATTTCACTGTACGCACAAGTGATGAAAAAAAATTTTACACACTCGAAACATACTATTCTAGGGATATACCTTCAACCATTAAAAATAATTAAGTTCTCTCAAGTAAATACGGTCTACACATTAGTTAAATTTTCTCTCAGCAATCATACTCCTCGATTTTGTACCTCAGTTACTCTAAATTACGATGCATTTGGAGCGTTCATCATCAACTCTGAACCTAATTCTCAAGCTAAATCAACAAACACGGAGATTGACCCGAGTCGAATAATTGGACCTGACAAATTCTACTTAGGTCTCTCCGTTCAGAACTGGATAGGTCTTGGGAAGCCTCTTCCCAAGTGCTTCCGAGACCTTTCTACCTCTGGTTANAAAATGTGTTTCCACGCTTGCATCCTCCCGAGCACATTATCCTAAAAAAATCCTGCGTGATATCTAGATTTTAAGTTAGGCGTTGTCAATGATGTCGCCAAGAGACACAACATGACCCGGAAAGATCATGATATAAACAGACGGTGAATACTTAAGATATGACGATAAATTTTAATATATTAACGTGGGTGTGGCAAAATTATTCCGAGAATTTTGCGCCCCCTGAAATGCTATACGTATGATACTTAATTATTAATCATCAATTGTATTTATTAATTCTTACTTGTATCGTAAGCTTTCTTATTGAATTTCTCTATATGTATATTTGACGCACGACTTTTTCGAAAATAAAACTTTATTAACTGCTCTTCGATTTTCAATTATCGTCTATGATTTCCGCGTAAGTCTTCTGACTCTCATGTAATCCTGTGTGACCCCGATAGTTTGAATAACGACGTCATTATGCGCCGTGCCTATTGGCACTACCACGCGCAGCGTGTCGCACGCATGCCGACACGCGTGCTGCGTGTCACACACTGCGTGTTACACCTAGAAATTAATATATGGTTAGCCAGCACAACAACACGCAGAAATTCATATAAGGGTCGGCCAATAGCACAATACGCAGCGTGTCAACCAATCATCCTTATAATCAACTGCACTATATTGCGCTAACGCCCCCTGCACTCGGGCCTTATATGAATTTCTGCGTGCGACACGCTGCGTGTGGTGGTGCGAATAGTCACGGCGTTATCTATATTGATTACATTATAAAGTCGCTAGACGGCCCAATCTATCTAAATGTCCAAAATAGTATATTTCGTAACGAGTGCAAAAAAGTGTTTTTTGGCGAGTGGGAGGTTTATATCACGAGCCGAAGGCGAGTGATATAATCCCACGAGCTAAAAAACATTTTTTCACGAGTTACGAACAATATTTTTCATCACAATGTGGCGGAAATTGGATTTTTAGACACGCGGAGCGGGCCGAAAAATTCACTTTTCGTCACAGTGTGATGAAAAGAATATTTCAGTAGTGAAAGGGCAAACCGGGTAGAGTCGATTTTGACGTTTGGCCAGTTTTTGATGAATACCTCGGAATCTAAGAGAGATAGCAAAATTTTTCTCATGACCTTTTTTATAGCCCTCAATTGGCTCTACAAAAATGTCATAACAAAAAATTTTCTATCTCTT